AGTTTTATGCGTAAAAGCCGAGAGAGTGGTGCTAGGAGTAAGTATGCGAATGCTGATGCTGGTGGCTGCAATGAACGGCCTTGTCGACCGTTCGCGGACCTCGTTCAATCAGTCTTGCTTCGCATGTGATGCACTCTCAAAAGATATACAAAGACTGCTGTTAGTTGATCTCCGTTAGCTCATCATTAATGCCTGTCTTAGCAGTTCATGCGCGCTGAGTCAGAGCTAGGGCGTAAAAGAGCGTCTCGACGTAATGAGCAGTTGGATCAGTTTAACGGAGCAATGCATTCGGCTGCGAATGTTACTTGGGAATCTGAGCCTGTAGCCCGTGGGAGGCATTCGATATCTCATGAGTCAGTGGCCCTGATGAAGAATTCACGCCCCACCTGGATCCAAACAAGGTTGAGTGGTGTCTGCAAAGTCAGCTCACGAACAGCCTCAAGAAGTACCTTGAGACCTGGTGGACAACAACAGCCAATTAAATAGATGTATCCGCTGCTTCAGGGAATATTCAAAGACTGTTCCCACTGATACGCAATTCCGGAGGTCGGCGAAAACTAGTTAGTGAAATAATCTGTAATAAAAGGAGACAGGCTATTCACAATAGGGAACAACGGCTTCACCGATGGGTGGATNNTCTTGACACTGACCAGATCGCCACATCTGCAACTGAGGCTTCTTAGGAATTGACGTGCGATTCTCCGGCAGAAGCAGAAGTTTGATCATGCATTTAAGGGAAGAAGAGCAACAGGATCGGACGAACTTCCATTCTTTTCAAGATGGGCGCGGGTCACTAACCTTTTAAGCCGTAATACTACCTTACTACACAACATTTGGTCATTAGAGCGCATTCCTTCATCACGATTGCGCAAACCCGCGTGATAAGTTTGATCCTAATCGTCACCAATATACTAACCTCCGTCGTACTTCGACGTCTGATTCGTTTCAGAGAGACCAAAATCCCTATAAATGAAGCCGTATTCCGACCTGGACGTGGATGTATTGAACAGATTTTCCCGTTGCGTGAGGTCCATAAGCTACTCCGCACCCACCGTCGATCAACGATCGCAGTGTTCGTTGATCTGAAAGGACCTGTTGGCTCCGTTGACTGAAAAGTTCTAAAGGGTTTTTTTCGAAAATGAATGCTGCAGAAGTGTGGTAATTTACTGGGGCCACTACACCAACATACCTCTGGTCGAATGAGGGTTTATAACGATTTGTGTAGGTAGTTGGTCACCAGTAGCGGCGTTCGTTAAGGTTGCCTTATTTCACCCTCAGCAATCAATTTCTCCGTAGATGACATACTGGTGAACGCACTAGTGGTCTCCGAAATGTTTGCATTGAATGGGCAACTGGAGAAAAACTGTGCGATTTAGAGAACACCGATGGCACATTCTGTCTGTTCGAATGTTGGGATGACGCAAAGCGCACTTGATAGACTAACAATTGCTGCTATGCCATTCGGTTTGCGCTTTGCACCTTCAAAGTGTAAAGTTAAGCTGCAGAACTGGGTGTGGTTTACTCCGTATCAGTAGTTCAAAACACCAACAACCGCATGTCGACAAGATAGAGAAACGATGCTTTAACAAAGGAAATTATTCTACTCAAATCGGCCTGTCTTAGCTGTTCGCAGCAATGACGCAGATCGATTCGCTCCCGATATTTACAGTCCAAATATTTCAGTCGATTTTTCCCTTAGTTGATTGTTCTCACTCCACAATATGCGTTTTTAATCACTGCACCATTTTACCTCTTTACGCTCCAATCTGTTTCAATAAAATTGAGTCTGATGTATCCATCATTTTTCGGTCATTGGATTTTAGCAAAAAGCAATTGAACAACTGAAATCAGACAAAGGGGAACTTGTGATTCAAGCCTCTTCTAAAACTGGGGCAACGGAATTGCGCTGCGAGTTGTGTGACATTGCCTGCACCGGTGCAGGATCCTATTCCGCTCATCTAGCCGGTCGTCAGCATCAACGAACTCTACGCTTGCATAAAGAGTTAGGCAAACCGATTCCACCCACAAACGATCCGCTCGTTCCAACTGCTGTAGCTGCGGCACTCAAAGCCCCGGTTTCTGAACCCACTTCTCAGCCCGGTTAGTTACGTTTATAATTTCGCTAATCACCACGGATTATTGATCTCACGGTTATTGTCTTACTGGTTATAATTTCGTTTCTTCAGCTTTATTCCGTCTGGGTCTCAGATAGACCAATATAAGATGATTACTTTAGTCCCAAACAGAGCAAAAAATATAAGGTGAAAAGCTAGGAAACATTGTGCAGTTACTTGGATTTTGTTCGGTCTCATCTGCGAATCGAATCCGGGACTTCACAGTTTTTATAATTACATTCCCTTGTGTGCTGAACAGTACACGGGGTGGACCCCAGTCCTGTAAACCGGCAACTTAAGCTGCAGGACCTAAACTGGTGAACCACATAAAGCCTTACAAGACTAGGTGTGGTATTGAGTCAAACGACACGAAACATATTGATCAAACTGTTTTTCATCGTTGCATTCCTCATTTGAGCGTCTGACCTTTATCATTGCCTTTGGTTCTTTGACCTTGGTTGCGACAATTTGAGGTTTTTCTCGTCCAATCACCTATTACCAACCAATTATTCAGTAAATCAATGCTCACTTATTCCCGATGGCCTTCCCCCTGCTCTATTTAAAGATGGCGGAATAAAGCTTGTTAGAGAACTACAAGTTATGTTCTCTAAAGTTTGGAACAGTGAGCATGTCACCTCCTCATGGGGGGAGTCGCTTGTCGTCCCGATCCTCAAAAAGGGCCCGCGCAATGACCGTGCCAATCATAGGGGCATAAGCCTAATTCCGATAGTGTCGAAGCTGTTGGCGTCCGTCATTCTCCACCGATTGCACACTACACGTGAGGAGCATACCTGCGAGAAGTAGGCTGGGGTTCGTGCCGGTCGTGGATGCATCGATCAAATCTTCACCCTCCGACCGCTGCTAGAACACCGTCATGCCCAAGAAAAACCAACGGTCAATGTATTCCTAGACATCCGTGCGGCCTTCGACTCTATCGATAGGAACGCACTATGGAGCTGTTTGTTGAGGAATGGAGTACCTGGGAAGTATGTGTCGATCCTCAAAGAGTTGTATTGTCATACCTTAGGTCGGGCCTATAGCCAGCTTTCGCCACCCTTTGCCGTCTCCATTGGAGTTCGGGAAGGCTGCCCCATATCCCCATTCCTTGTCTTCTTTGTCATAGACGATTTTATGCGGAATGCTTTGTCTGGTCTAGCAAACTGTGGAGTTGAACTCCCCCCAGGGAACAGAGTTCTTGATTTCGAATATGCCGATGACATCGCCTTGTTGGGTGACAGCACACAGGCAGTCCAAGACGCTTTGAACCGCTTGGCGATCGAGGTATCCAGGTTTGGTATGTGCTTTGC